ACATCAGTTATTTTGCATAGAGCCCTGATGGCACTTCCTCTAAACATATCCTCCTATAAAAACAAAAACCAATATACATCATTCTCTGTAAAATTGCAATTATTAATAAAATCAAATTAGAATTCAAAAGGCATAAATATACTTAAAGCACAGAATGAGACTTACTTTGCCAGTCATGTCCTTTGTCAAGCTAAAATAATTAAAGATAATTAATTTACAGTTACTAGTCAACGTTCAAATCACTTGGAAGTAAGATTCATGGTTGAAATCTTGAAGATAAAGTTCTCAGGCAAAAAGGCATATACATAATACATGTACGTACAATAGTCTCCTTCACTGTTAGGTGTGCCATCTTGAAAGATAGCTGTGCCTTTACATTGAAGCGAGACAACCATTGAGCGTGCAATGATAGAAACCTGTGAATATTTGTCTGTACGCGTGAAAGAAGGTTTCTATCATTGCACACTCAACGGTTTTCTCGCTTGGATGTAAAGATAGCGCAGGGAACAGCAAAGACTATTGTATAACAATTAGTGTGTGCCATATGCATAGTACCTGCTAGTGACAATGATAACATCTTCGGCAATTGATGCCAACTCTTTAATAGCCAAGTAAACCATTCTCCTCAGCATAAGCTAAAAACAGATTTACATCTTCAATACATGCATAGACCCCTGTACACTTTCAAATAAAGTACTCACATCCTTTGATTGGAAGAGCTTTGTCATGGCAAAGAATGCCTCYGTAGCTTCCGTAGTACCAAGGTGAGCTCCCTTGAATCAAAATATATCAAAAATTTAGTTTTACACAATAATGTTACAGCAAAAAAACATTGACTATGCATTGCGACTTCTTTTTTTTAAGTATATTTTTATTTTGTTCTTTCCTTCGATCTAAGTGGTGGGGCTTATCGTAAACTCATTTAGTCATTGGCTTATTAGCATCAAGCTCTGCCCCCAAGTCAAAGAAAAATTTCAAAATTTCTTTTGAACATTGAAGTCTCGATGCAATAGTTTCTATTATCAGGGAAATATTGCAGGCATGTACAGATGTAGCAAGCAAGAACGTAGCACATTTAAATTCCTAGCATGATATGGTTTTATGGTAAATTGTGAGCCTATCCCCCACATTTCAGTGCCTCTCATTTATACATTGTACCATACCAGTGAAGAATTTTTAAATGATTACATATACACAAATTTTGATTACAGAAATCAACCCATAAAAGAAATGGAACATCCATAAATGCAATATCACTGTATATTAATCTAACTGATTATTTTCTCATCTGTTATAATAATTTACCGGCGATCTAACTAACCTGATTAGTCAAGTACAGAATCTTGGTCAAAATGTGAATGCATTTCCTGACATTGATCGGTGTTTCATTGAAAACACGGCACTATAAAGACAAAAAACATAGTCTTAATATAAACTCTAAGTTTGTAAAAACTGATCAAAGACGTGCAATTGCCACAAACCTCTTGTAACACAACTCCTTTGTCGATGTTCTGGAAGGGGTTCACAAGAGCTAGAACAGAATTGTCAGATGTAAGTCTTACTTTAGCGATGAATTTGACTATAAAATCGACCTTAAATTAAAGTGAAATTAAAAATCAATAAACTCACATTCTTCCTCATCTTTTTTATCGCGTCTGAGATACTGCATCTTGCTTTAAATCACCAATTTTTTAAGGTTTTCGTGAAAGTATGATGAATTTGTAATGGCGACGTGGCAGAGACGGCCTCGTTTTAGTGTGCTGCCTTGTTGGAAGACTGGGAATGAATGGCACAGGGATCCCAATTTTTAGTGAGCCCCAAAAACAAGGTCATTTTCATTTTTTTTTTCTTTTTTTTTTTCCTCCTTGTTTTCCCTTTCCTTAATAGTCTTGAAAATCAAGAGACCATTAACAATATTGTAATATGAATTTTCTTTTAATATTTCTCAATAATATTTCATTACTATCAAACTAAACAATATTTTTAGCCATAATTCTGAATGCAATTCACACCCTTTGCTTTCAACAATCGGCGTTTTCATTTCATGATCAGTGGAGCTTTGGGTTTGCTGTGTACTCGATGCCCGATAACTTGGAAAGGTCCTGGGATCCATAGGAAATCTCGACGTCATTTCATCGGGCGTGGTCGGATCCCCATCAACTGGCGTTAAATGCCCCAAATTACATCGATTGTTGTCACAGCAATTGAATGAACAATTCACAACAACATTTGAGTCATCGCCGCAGTAGATTGTTCGTAAGAAATCACAGTGTTCCATGGCAATAGTACAGCCTTTTTCCTCTTTATAACGAATCCCAAATATTGGCATATTGTACGTTATATTGTGGGAAAAACAAGCGTTGTAGGCCTTGCCATCAGGGCTTGAACCACAGGTCTGTAACGTGTAGTTATCTGCGCATCTTGCTTCTGTTAATTCGCTTCCTTTGCAGTGATAACATTCAATGCAGAACACTGAAAAATATGAACACAAATGTCAGTCAGTCAATTAACATTTAGGTCATAATCTTTGCATTTCTTGAGGGGCAGTAAACGATTTGAGTTTGTAAGCCGATTCTTAATCAAAACTGTGGTAACCACAGTCAGTTATATTCAAGTTAAAATTTTACTAATCGTACAACGTGTGGCAGATCACTGACTCTTGAGGTTATAAAACACTTGTTGGAGTATAAATTTCATTCATAAAAGATCGTCAGTTTATCCTATGCCAGATGTCTATGGCAACAATTACGAATTCCACCATAAGACTCAGGCGTTGAGAGATCAAAATCAATAATTCCGTGATAGCGTTCCAGTAAAAATCTAGTCATAACAACGAAAATATACAGCATTTGTGATGGTATAACTATAAAATTTTATATTCCGTTTTGCTGCGATTCATGGTTAAACTTTGCCGGGGCGGCACGTGTTGCCACGCCCTTGTGAATGCTAAAATCAAAGAACTCAAATTATGTTTGGCGCATCAGGTTCTTTTGATCACAAATCGCTTTATGTTCTTAATTATTTTATTTGTATAAAAACGACTTGTCAACCGCTGTTATCAAGTTATGAAAGAGAACATTTTACCATGAAAACCGCAACACACAGCGCCTCTTYAAATTCAATGTGCTTCAAGAAAATGAAAATAAGCAACGATGCAAGAYAACAARGAGCTGGTAAGSGCAAAGGAGGAATTTGAAATCAGACATTTTTAATTTATGCATCAGTAATTGACTTATATCAGAGAYATCAACTTCACGATAAAACAGTTTATATCACAGTACTAAGAAGTAGCTGGAAAARCACAATTTGTAAGAAACACCGCAACTGATAAAATTTAACTCTAAAAGCCTTATAATGTTTTGTTATTTGGAAACCTCTAACCAAGAAGCAGAGCTGATCGATCGGATAAACAAAAATGTACATGGCAACAAAAACACTATCACACAGTTTGGAAAATGGTTGATACTTATCTCAATAATTTGGTTCTATACATAACACAGGCCGTAAAACTGAGTGAAC